AATACCTTTCTCAGCCTATGTAATTTAACAATGTTAGATAGTGCTTTTTTCTTGGAGAAAAGAGGATTTCTATGTTTATAAATAATAATAATATAGTAAGAATACATTTCTTTAACCTCTGACCTCAAGATGGTGTCACTCTTTAGGTGCAACCATATTGGAAAATTTTACAGAGGTGATGAAGAAGATCAGTCACAATGATATCCTAAGACAGCTTGAAGGATCAAACGAAAATAATTCATTCACACTAAACTTGTAACTTTTTTATTCAGATTCCTCTTAATTAATATAATTATTGATTTCTTTTTAGAGGCATGTAAAAATAGTATTTCAGACCTATCACTGCTTGAAAAGCTGTTGGTTTAATACCAGAACTTATCAGCAACCAAACTTATATCTGAAATTTATTTTGCCTTGAAGTATAAAATATTGGGTTCAGTGGTTCAAATACCTAAACCTTGGAAAGCATTGAAACATTTTATGCCTAACAAAAAGTAATAAAATCACCCTTGACTACAGATGTTTTTTTCTCCACATTCATCTTACTTTATCTTTTAGGAACTCCTGATCAGAAGTGTGTAAAATAGTACTTCAGTGGAGCATCATTTTATAATCTTTTCAGCCTAAAATAACACAGTGTTTCGCTAACTTAGGTGTGTTAAATCACAGACCTGAAAGATCCTGATAAGACTTCAACTTGAAGCAGTCTATTTAGATAGTACTGATTTGGAAAGGTCCTGACAAATCTACACACTATAGCAGCTGAGAGAAGTATTATTTTCCTCTTGGAGTGATTATCTCTTCCTCCTTTGATTTGAAATATAAGTTGACAGATAAATGGGTCTTCAAGGTACCATTCACTGATATGGTTTTCTAGTTTTTATTGAAGCTAGTTTAGTTAGACAGTAATACTAAATTAGATAGAAAATATGTGTCAGGAGTTTTCAAACCCATCACATCCTTAAAAATGAAACATAACATAGCATTTTCTGTGAACAAAGTTAAAATGAACAGCAACTGCTTAGTTCAGAGTGACACTTGAGGAGAAAGTCTTGCAGGACTAATCTAGAAAAGTAGTTCAAGTGGATGGCATTTCGAAAGACTTTGAGCTTTTTTTTTTTCATTCTTTTTACCTGAGCTACTTTTGTAGATTAGTCCTCCAAGACTATTCTCCCCATTTGTTATTCTGAATTAATCTGTTGCTGCCCATTTCAACTTTTTAATTATGAAGACTACCTAAATTATCTATTAAAAATATTTTGTTGTTTTATTTAAAACATTTTGCATTGTACTTTGAGCATTATGAATTACTCATGGATTACTTTGGAGTTATACATGGGATTTTGTAATCTTAAATTGTTTTCTTTCTCCTCAAATATTTTGCTCTACACAAATGACTTTAACAAAGAGATGTCTAACTGGTATATATTTTTATCATCACCAACTTATGAATAATACAACATTCAATTCATTTGTCCCATGGCTCCCAATTACAGGTGGCACTATCATTGTTAACAGTACCCTTCCACTTCTCAAGTTCTTTCTGTCTTTGATATCTTGGAGGATTTTTCTGTGTGTGTGTTTCTCTGTCAATGTTGTCTTTGGATGATCTTTCTTCCATCTCTCATCTACTAAAATGTATATAATGGTATTAATTAGGCCTGTTTCTCTTGTTACATTGCCATATGATGGCAACATGCTCTTCTTTACAGTGGCTAATGGATTTGCAAACTTTCCAATAGCTGAAGCTGTTTCTGCTCAGACTGAATCATTTGTCCTGTGTACAATGTAGGGACCCTTAGAAGGCTGCTAACTCTCACCACAAAAGCATGTATCTTTCTTCTTGTATCAGTATTGAAAGTTCAAGTTTCAACTCTGGGTAAGAGAAGACCATTATTCTGAGGAGGTGGATCTTTATCTTTATGGAGATGCTTTTATTTAAGATCTTGACAATTGTGATAACAATTCTTGTTTGGCCTCTATGTCAGATCTTCTCTCTAGTTCCATGGTGTTAGAAGGGGCCCCCACTCTTTTTGAGCTTCTTACCACCAAGGTAAAGTTCATGTATTAGTGTGATGTTGTATTTCCCCATTGATATCATCTTATTATTTTCTGCACTGATTTCCATTCCGCATAACGTTGCAGTGCTGTCTGACCTCACTATAAGGCCTGCTAGTTCTGTTCCTAATTCTGTCAAGATGTTGAAGTCATCTTCAAAACAAAAGTTCCAGATCTCTCTGTCTCTGATTGACATGGTTCCTTCAATGGCCATCTATCATGCTCTACTCTAGAAAGTGATTGAAGAAATATGGTCATAGGAGGCAACTTTGTCTCACACTTATCATTGTGCAATACTACCTTACCGAATGTATTCCTAACCAAGACTTTGCTTTTTTTCCATTGTTGTAGAGGGACTTAATTGTTAATATTATCCTTTCATTGCAGTTCACACGGTTTCCTGCCAGGCATGAACAAAACCTTTTTCTTTTTTGAAGTCTATAAAATTATGATGCTTAGTATACTTTTATCTGTTATCCTCAGGTTAAAAATCTGTTTGGTAGTATTTTGCTAAGCTCTGAAATCTACTTGTTTCTCTGCAAGTATAGCTTCCATGTAATTCTTCAACTGATTCAGAAAAATATGCAGCATTACCTTGCTTTCATAGCTAATTAAAATTAATGATTCTATAATTCTGATACTGCAGAATATTCCTTTTTTGTGGAAGTGGGATGATTATTGATCTTGTCCATTAAGTCACCGAACTTCCAGTCTGAGACAGTGTTGCAGGTATTGTGCAAAATGTTGATGACAGCATATTCTCTGTATTTCAATATTCCTGCAGGAATATTATCAGTGACCACAGACTTTCCACTATCTCCTGAACCTCTTCCTTTATAATCCGTAGTATGTGTATGTCTTTTTATTGTTCTTATGCTAATTTATTGATGATGTTAGAGAGAACATCTATCCTGTGGTTGAACAGCTATTGCAATATTCTCACCATCCATTAGTAAGTGCTTGGTTTATATTAGGAGATATCCTTTTCTTCAGTCACTAATGTTCTTGCTTTCTGGCTTTCCATCAATTTCTTGGTGGTTTAAAATGCCTTCATAATGTTGATGGTTGAAAGATTTTGGTCAATTTCTTAGTGTAGAGATAGTATCTAATCCTCTCTTGTCTTCTGAATTTTAACTCAAACCTTGATGTTGGATTTTCTATATTCTGCTGCTTCTCTTTCTCCATTATACTATCCAGATTTAATCTTCTTCCATTGGTCATGTAGGTCTAGAATATCTGTTTTTGTCCCAGGGTTATCTTGTCTTCTTTGGTTGCTCAAGTACTTCTTAAGCATCTTCATTCAGTTGTTGTGTAAAGCTGTCTGTGATTTCTTGTAGGTCCTCCATTAATAATAGGAGGAAAATCTTCCTAAAACCTTAACCCAAAGCTCTTCCTTTATATAGGTCTTTCAGCTATTTAAAATTATATTTTATTTTTGGGCCACTTTACTTTAGTTTCTTCTTGAAATTGAACTTGATGAACCTTGTAAAAAGGTCAAAGTTACTTCTTATGTTGTCACCTGGGAAGGTGCATGTTTTGTGTGTGTGTGTATTCATACTGGTCTGTAAACGTTTCAACACTGGTATGTAGTCTACCTGGTTGCTATACTTACCACCTAATGGATGCCACATCCACTGTTCTTCTGGATGGCTTGTGGGAGTGTAGAGTGTTTGCTAAGATTAGATTGTTGAGTCTAGAAAATTCTAGTATTGGTTGTACTTCATCCAAACTTTTCTGTTGCCTCTTTCTAGTCACTGTACACATCCAGTCCCACCTTGACATTTCAGGCCCCTAAACTATCAGTCTTTCCTTGAAATTTTGTATAAAAGGGTCTCTAGTTCTTGACAAAGTTTATTTATTTCATTGTTTTTGTGGGGTGTAGATTTGTATGATGATTATGTGTTGGGTTTTGCAGCAATGCAGATAGAGATGAAATAGGACTACATTTGTACCACACTTTAAGGCCTTCTGTTGTCTGTTCACCAATATTATGCTACATGAATTCATTCTATTATGCTTACCACATTCCACGGGTAGCTCTTAATCTCATAGACTAGTTAGTTTTTTTCAGTTTCCCTGTTTTATGGAGTAATCTAACATTTTATGTCTCTATCAATATTTTTTTGTAATGTGTCCATTACGAATTACAGTAAGTATTGCTCATGTAATAGAATATTCTTTTTCAACCTATACAAATACATTATAAAAACATTTGCTGTGCCTATGACATTTATTGTACTAATCAATGACTAAAATTGAAATAGCTATAAATATTTTAGTTTTATATTATTATTGTCAAGGCTACCATATTTCCACTAACATAAGTCCTTCCATTAGACAACACGGTACATTACAGTAGGTGTAACATCTCCTAATACAAATTTTTTATTTATTTACATGGCATTAATATTAGAATTCACACTGATGTTTGTCTCTTCTGTGCCTAAAGATTCAATATAAGTTTTAAATAGTTAGCAACATCAACCCAGTTGTCATTATTATTCAGGAATGTTAATGAACTTTGCTTGGAAGTTTAAATGGAATTATTTACAGTCCTAAATGATAATAGATTGTTTTGATGTACACTCATCAAATTTAGTTATAAATGCTTGTAAGTAGGTTTCTATGGGGAAAAATACAGGTAAACATTCACATGAGTTTTAAACTCTATCACAGTGTATCCTGTCTTCTAGAATAATCCACAAACAGGTACCAGCTTTACTTTTCAAAAGTGGTCTGTGTATTGGTACATACCTTACAGTGTTCTATCAGGAGTGGGGGATTAAATTTCTGCAGTAACATTATGCCTCTATGTATTATGGAGGCGTACCATGCGTTTTAATTTTAATATAAAAATTTTCAAAATTTTGTGCTAATGTTAGGTGCGTGCATTTTTCACATAACATATGTTCAGGAAAGTTGTTAAGCTGATTTTGTTCTAGGTATCCTCCTTCTTTGTCATCCCTTGGAGTTAACATCTGGTTTGCCAATGGGAGATAAAGCTGCACCTTGTACATGAAGGTTGACAATGGTGTCATCCAATGGTAGGTCAGATAATGTCTGAAGGTTACAACCTCCCTTATATTTGAATAGAAATGACCAGTCTCATGTGTAGTGCTAGTCACTCTTAGTAAGTCTAATGTTACTGATTTTTAATTAAGTAACATGATACTTAGAACAGTCTGGAATGTCACTTTAAGTGAGTCATTAGTTTGGATGAGTGTAGCAAGCTTGATCAATTCACAACTCCAGTAAAGGCAACAATTCATTGTCCATAAGAAGTATGCACAATGTTGATTTGTGTTATATAAATAAAGATTGTTTCATTGTGCCCATTTCATTTATTTTTTTCACAAATAAAAAAGCAAAAGTTTGCTTCAAAAAACAAAGATTGAAAAATATCTTATTTTTGCACTGTGCTGTACATGCAAAAAGAAATACAGTACATCTGGTTGGTGTAACAGAATTCTAGCAGCCAATGTATCAAAGGCTCCTGTCTCCGAAACAGAAGTAAATAACTAACACATAAGAGTGTGGTTGTTTTCTTCTACTGTGACAGTAAGCTTGTGAATTAAATAAAATACAAGGTGGAACAAAAAGTAATCCATCTTATTTTTATTCTCTCAAGTATAGATTAATATTTACAGTAAATGTTAATCCTGTATATTACTTGGGGTTTTATAGATGTTCCTTAGTTCTTTTAAGTGTTTACTTAGTTTACAATTTGCATTCATTTGTAATGCCAGTGCATCTGCCATTGAATATCTTGTCATAATATTTAAGAAAAATGCTATGTTGCTAATATTTACTAAGTTTTTGATATCAAGTCATGTTTCAGCTTTCAGTTCCTATGAATCATTGGTGTTTGTTACAAAGAACTTCATTCTATTTGACAGGAAAGTTTGGAGAAAGAAGGCAGCCCCTTAGAAATTTTGCATACAGCCCACATAACCATGAACTTAAACACACAGATCCATCCTTGTCAGTTGTATGTAGTATACACATCCAAACAGATGTTCTGTTTACACAAACGTCACAGAACATCTTTGTTAGCTTTGATTAATAAACTTTTAGTATGTAATCTTATTGGAAGTTGCCTGGTTAGCATTCCATAATTTTTGGATTGTAATGAGCTGTAGATGGAAATGAGCTTCTTTGTATATATAAATATTCATCTCTATATATCAACTTACCAATCTTATCAGCTCTTAAAATATACATAAGTTTCAATCTGTATGTCTTATGTAGCTGTTAAATAAATGTATATATGTCCTGTTTGAAGTAAGTTTAACATGAAAGGAATTACAACTGTTTGTTTTATTGCTGATGATGGTTGAGGTTTAGCAAAGACTGTTGTCTAATGAATGTTTTTAAATTTTACCATTTTTTGGAGCAAAAGAAGAACTGCATGAATTGAGAGGAATGAAAAGTATCCAAGTAATGACATGTGTCATATTCTGTGGTATATATATTTGTTTGTGACCTTCACCATTTTGTAGGCACAGTTGTTTGTTAAGGAGCTATGTATCAAACTGTGAAAAAAGAAAAAGATATGTTGAGACATCAAGTGGAAAATTGTACTTTAATTGGATGTTATGTGTTCTTTAATATCTCCACAGAGAATGCAGTTATTATCAAATAAGAGAAATACTTATCCAGATTGGCATTAAACTAATATATTTCTCTAGACTGATTTATTTAAATAGCTTTGTCAGGTAATATGTTCTTAAGTTCATTTGTTTTGTATTAGTACACTATTATTATTGAATTGACATTTTTTTTAAATGGTCTGTTTTCCTTAGATATGCTTCCAGAAGCAAAAAAAGTTCAAATGTTTGAAAGAGAAATTAGTCACCACACTTAGATTTCCAATTCCTTTCTGTTTTCCATATTTGGTGTCTACAGGGTTGAATATGTTATAATAAAATAATTCTGAATATGCAAGTCACATGACAATTGCAGCCAATATAAAGTCATGATGAAATGACATATAATAAGATTTTTAAATTGTTTGCTATTTCACTGATAGTGTCATGGCACTGAAAATTGATCGCTTGAGGAAAAGGTACCTAACAGCCTTTTCCACTGAAAAATATTATTGGACTCTGATCTTAGATATGTGTTAAGATCAGGGATTTAGAATTTCCAAAACAGGGTTGTTTTTGAAAACAAACTTTGGGCACAGAACCATCCAGAAAGAGACCTGTAACAAGTTATACCCCAGCTGTGCTAAACAAAGTGCAGCATCTTGTAACAGGTGAGAACCCACAAACACAAAGGTCAATATTGAAAGCCATCCATGTGTCCCAAATAACAGTACACAACATAATCAAGAATTATCTCTATCTGGAAACAAAATCAACATGGTATGGGTTCACCAAAATAAGGTTTCCAGTCACAGTTCCTGGAGAATGAAGTGAGTATTCATGCTATTCTATATGAAGACATATGGTCAAGTTTCTAGACACAGTACTTGTGGATTTCTTTATGATCAGGTTGTTGAAATGAGAACTGGGAAACTATTATAATTATATGGTCTGTGATTTATGGAAAGTTTGTAGGGAGGAGTGGCATGCTTTAAACATGACAGCCATAACAGAGCCTTTTACTTTGGAAACACATCATTGCAAGGCTATGGTCAAGATGCATGGTCATTAGACAGAGCATTACCAGACATGGCAACATGGACTGTAATGATGTGGAGAGGCTTCAAAGTTGTTTTAGTATGTAATTTACTTAACCATCTGTATTGTTTAGTTTAATTTCAAAGTATGTCAACTATTTTCAGAAAATTAGGTTATTTTGGTTACTTAACTACTCAAGTTTCTTTAAGATAAAATGTTCAATATTATGTCGTAAAGCTTAACTACAAATACTAAATCCAGTCTGAAGTTAGTCATCAGCTAGTCTTCGATGCATGATTGAAATGGTAAACCAAACTAAAGTTTAGTAGTGCTACCACATTGACTCTGTATACAATGATTCTTCATTACTCCTGAATCCAAAATATACCATTTATGTTTTCTCTCATGGTAATGCCTTAATTCATGTGCATCAGACTAACATCAGTTATTTAAATGTTCACAATCTGTATGAATTGTAGGGTTATAACCTCAGTAAAGTTTACTTACATAGTATTTTTGATTTCACATTAATGTGATATGTCATATAAACACTCTCGTTATCTACTCCAAGTTTAATTTTCAGTGTCAACAAATCCTATTATGATTTTTTAAAAATCTATGTTTATCGTAGGCACTGCTTGAAGCACATGACGTTGTAGCACATGAAATATACAGTGAAGACGCTGTCCGTGCAACACCGCCTCCAATTATGCCCTATCTGAATGGCAGCCAAGAAATGGAACCTCTGAGAGAACCACATTTAGAGACTGTTACAAGAGTCAGGCTTGTACAGTTCGAGAAGAATACAGATGAGCCTATGGTGAGAAATATGTCTTTTTGATTGGAGAGCTGCATATCAAATAATTCTTTTTTTTTTTTTAGCCACGGCATAGCAGCTCATAGAATGATTCTGAGTTTCTTTTAGCTCATAGCTCCATGATATCTTGACTAATCTGATATCTAATTACAGTTTGGACTCAGGAGGTAAAATTCTTTCAATTGATGTATTTGACTACACCCAAAGTCTCATAGATTTTCATTATTGCTAGCCTACAAAAATATAACTAATAAAAAGAAAAAAAAATGGTCTGGTAGATTAATTTACTCTAATCATGCCTTAAAGAATTTCAAGTGCTGCAGCTATTGAGGATTTTGTTGTGTTTTTTTTTACAACACCATTTGAAAACAGCTGTGTGAAATTAAAAATAAACATTTTTGTTATTTGTAAAATATCAGTAAAAGTGCCTATACAAGTTAAACTGCACTAACATTTGCAATAGCATTAGGTCAAACAAAACTGTCAACATAAGTCAGTTTACACATAATTTATTTCTATTATCAGATGCCAAAGAATGTTTTTTAAGATTAGATGTTTCACATGTAATTTTTTCTCCTTATAGCAGTTTTAACCATTTCTTTATAAGCTCTATCAGTCTGTAGCTGTATTTGCATGTTATTCATTTTACTTTTTTACGCTCATTATCAATCAGTCAAATAAGATACTGAAGTTAAAATAAAAAAGTATGTTATATAAAAATGCTAAATTTAGTCAAAATAAAGAGTATATTGTCTATAATATAAAACTTTAATTAACTATAGACATTGATATCCGTCAATCAATAAAATATTTTATATATATTAAAAGGTTAGTAATTAAAAACACTGGTGCATGTCAAAGTAGAAAGTATCTTATTTATGTTAAAAGTTGTTAACTAAAGGCACTAATGAATAATAAGTTATTTATATTGTAATATAAAACTTTCGTAGTGAATATGCAGTTATTTGTAGCTACCGTATGTTACTGAAGTTAAGTCATAATAGTATTCAAAGTTTGGCTCATTGTTCTATCTTATGGAAATATCATTAATCAGCCTTTCTTGTTACAGGGAATCACTTTAAAATTGGATGAAGGTGGAAAGTGTATTGTGGCTCGAATTATGCATGGAGGGATGATTCATAGACAAGGTAGATTATGTGTGTTATTTGACTGAAATCTTACATAGCTAGTTGACAAAATTTTTTTCTTTCTAATTTGATCCTTGCAATCTCTAGATAATTGCAAACATTTGAGTTTATAGTTTTAATGTTGTCAGTACAAAATGAAGATAAATAGCCATGACTGTTTTATTACTCGGATATCTATTGTAAATGCTAGCAAAAGATTTGATGATGAATTTTCCATGACTTTAACTTTGCTTATTTATTTTCACCAAGCAACCCTTCACGTGGGTGATGAGATTAAAGAAATCAATGGAGTGCCTGTAGGAAACCAGTCTGTTGAAACATTACAAACTATGATGGTTAGTATGAGTTATGTTTGTTCATTAAAGTTTTAGTATAAATATCTTCTTTTTCCACTGTTATTATAACATTTTATATCCAACTTTTTTCTGTAACTTTATCACTGGAAAACCTTTATATATAATTATTTGTGTTGGCATATTTTTTAAAAATGCCAAATGATTTGTTATTAGAGAAGTATGTAAACACAAGTCAACCTATTTTACTGTTAGTAATTAACTGTCTTTACCAGTAGAGCTGAGTGTTTAGTGGAATTTCCTAATTGTTTAATTGTTGGGCTTAGTAATTAATTACATTTCAACTGGTCATTTATTCTCAAATGAGAACTTAGTTTGAATAATCAAATAGTAATAATTGCACAAATTTTTTAATTAGTTTATTATTTTCATGTGTCATGACACTAATTTATTAAGCTGAACAACCTTGAATTAATCATAAATAATAATGAGAAATCATAATGGTAAAATTTGAATTACTTGGATAGTTGGTATCAGAACATAAGAAGTATCAAACTCAAAACAAAAAAAAAACATCATAGAGATTCAACTTGACCATTTATCTTTTATACAAACAATGATTTCACCTGATTAAACATTAGTTATTCACTTAAGTTTTCTTAAAAGTGAGTAGTATTTCCTGTCATTCAGTTTTTGTGTTTTTCTTTTATTCCTCTGCTCTCACTATTAGAGAGAAGCCCGAGGTAGTGTGACATTCAAGATTGTACCAAGTTACCGCATTGCCCCTCCCCCATGTGAGGTAATGTTTTAACTTGCCATATGAATATGTGATACCTTTTGTAGAATAATATCCAAGTTTGTACAGTAAAGAATTTTCTTGTGTGCATAACAAATGACAGTTCAGTAAAAATACAAATACATTTCTTACATTCATATGATTGGTTTATTGAAATTTTTAGATTTTGCAGTATGAGCGAGTTATGAAATTGAATTATGTCATCTGAATGGAATACAAGTGTAGTTAATACAGACTATATGTCTATAATTATTCAATAAAAATTAAGATTAGTAGTTTAAATTTCAAAAGTAACAATAGGAGTCATTTTCTAGAAACTGTCAAAACATGAAACAAAATTTTATAATACTTGTAAGGCACCTTACTCCTATTACTGTAGACTGTCACAACTTTCATAAAAAGCCAGTAGGTGTAAAGGTAATAGATTTTAAAATTCACCTGCTCAGTATATATTTATACTGTTTTGAGCATGATACAGTGGGAACTTGGGACTTCCCTCTGCAAAACTATATTTCTGTAGAGTAGCTGGTTGGCCAAACTCTCAGTGTTGTTGTAATCAAAATTTGCATATATAACATAAATAATTTGCCCACTCTCTGCCTTTTAGTGATTTCAGTTATCAAATCATTGGCTTTATCTTCTTTTAATGCTGCCAGTATTTCCAGATAAACCCACCTCCAGTTCTAGTAAGTATATTCTTTAATTTGGCCTCTCTATACTGCAATCAGAAGTGGTGGTGTGTGTAATAAAGCTGTAAAGTAGAACAAAGTCTTTCTGTATGCTGTATTGTTGCTAAACAGACCAGAATCAAACTGTGGATTGTATTACTGAGAAGCAAATAGATGTTCATGTGTTGCTTGATTGCAAAGCAGACAAAAGTCTTGTGTTGCAGGATTGGTGAGGATAGAAAATTCATGCCTTGTGTAAAGGATGTATGTAAATTAGACAAAAACTTTGTTGGTGTATGAGTGCAAAAGCAACATCTTGCTAAGTTTGAATGATTGTGAAATAGATTATCAGTATGCTGTATTTATAGCTATAAAAGAAGTGAATTCATGGCTAAATTTGTATGTTCTTGGCTTAAAGGTAGAAAACACCACTAGCATCAAGAGTACTCAACTGGTGACTTAGAGCAGCAGACTATTTATCATTATTGTAGATTTTTAACAGCTCTTTTGGTAGAAGTTATTACACATTTGCATGTGTGTAAAACAGGCTATGGTAATGCTGCATGAATATATACAAAAAATGAAGTATTGCAGAACTTGTATGTTTGTGAAACAGACCATAATTATCTTGTGTATGTTTAAAGTGAAGCATTACAAAGTTTATATAGTTATGAAACAGACTAAGATTATGCTATATGTATGGATATAAAAAGTGAATTCTTGGCTATGTTATTAAGTTTGTGAAAAAATTAATATTATCTTGTGTATGTTTCAAGTGAAGTCTTGCTGAATTTATATCGCTACGAAACAAACTAAAGATATTTTTGGTCTATGCCAAGATTGAATGTGTTATATTAAAATGATTTTGAAATCTCACCATGTCATTACATGCTCTGTCTGATGACCGTGTATCTTAACAACAGGCCTACAGTGTAGTTTTCATTGGTAAAGGCTCTGTCAAAAGACTGTCATATCCATAGCACGCCTTCCCCACAGGCTTTCCATAAATCCATCTAATGTATGAGTATAACAGTTTTCCACAGAAATTCATAGTTGCTCCATCTCCAGCAACTTGACCAGTTTGTCTTTGTATGGAATAGCATGAATACCCATTGTGTGATGGTTGAATGGATATGTCATGGAAGCAACTTGATGTTTTTTTTAGATGAAATCATTCTTGTTTATGCTGTGTACTTTTATCTGGAATGTATGTTACTAACCTATGTTTTCATTGGCTCTCGCCTGTTACTATATGCCTGGCTGGAATTTGTTGCAGGTATCTTTTTTTTGCATGGTTGTGGTGTCCTGATTTATCTATATTCCTTTGTTTTCTGATGAGTATATGAATATTTTGTATTTGAAAGAGTAGTTACATACCCTTTCCAAAATTGATCACTTTTTTTTGGTGGCATTACACTACCCATGAAATACTAAACAATGTCAAAATGTAGTTCTGATACATGCCATTCCACCCTTCTTTATATTGGCTGTGGTTGTCAAGTGACTTGCTGAATTGCATTTCTCAAAATCTTTATAATATAAGGTACTCAACCCTTTGTATAATGTTGCTGAATGTATTATGGTTGTGAAACAAACTAAGTTTATGTTCCCTGTACATGAACATATAACATACAAATAATAATTTTTTTCTAAAGTATTTTATTATTTGGATATTTAGTATAGCTAATGCTTTAGTATTTGCAATAATAATAATGTTTTCAACTCCTCTCATATAAGAAATTAATATTTGGTGTCACCAGCTTTTTAATCATTTATAAGAATAATATTTAAACCATTTTTTCCTGCCTCTAACACACTGTAAACTATTAGTAGGAAAATTGTATTAAAACAACTAAAATCCATTCAAGGAATAGTTATAAATCATATTATAAACTCTCATATAAATTAATAAGTCACTAAAAAGTGTCTAAAAATTAATTATTAAAGTAGTAAAATTTTTTCATTGTCACTATTTATTTACTTATATTTGATCCCAATTTAAATCTAAGTGAATTAAAGACCCAATTTGCTATTTATTTTTGATTTGCAGATCTACATGAAGGCTCAGTTTGATTACAATCCTCTAAAAGATGACCTTATACCCTGTGCTCAAGCTGGAATTTCCTTCAGAATAGGAGATATTCTTCAAATCATCAGTAAGGATGACCATAACTGGTGGCAAGCCAAGAAGGAAGGCTCGGACAGCACAGCAGGGTTAATTCCTTCTCCAGAACTTCAGGAATGGAGAACAGCCTACATGGCCATAGAGAGGACCAAGAATGACCAAGGTGCTGTTACTAAATTGCTCAAGATCAGATTTTAGTTTCCTAATTAGATCTTTGTTGAATTAAAATAATAACTAATAATTAAGGTCATAACTCTGAAATGTTCATGTTAACAGCTTAATACTTTAAAATGGGACAAATTGCTGACACTGAGATGGCAAAGACAGATTAAAGATCTTTATGGATCAGAATATCAAAAATTATATCATAACTGTTTACCTTTTGCATACCTATGTGTTTTGTGAATTTATTTGTACCAATATTTCAATAACGTAAAGAATACTTCAATGCTAAGGGTTCATACCAAGTTTGGGTTTATTTAACCAAATAAGGTCAGTTTTAATTTCCTTTTTTTTTTCAATAACCAAATTTGTTTATTACTAACTATATAATATTCACTGTCAGCATCCTTGCTAAAATTCAATATGTATTTTAACTTAATAACGAGGAACCCACTTTTTAGAAAATAAAAGTTTTGAGACAGCTTGACTGGGTAATGAAAACCTTTATTGTAAATGTACATTTATAATAAAGGTTTTTCATTACCCAGTCAAGCCATCTCAAAACTTCAATATGTATTTTGATAAAAGCAAACTTCATGCTCTTCTCTTTTCAAAACTACTTTCACTTATGATGGCTTTATAATGGTCATACTTATTTTGCATTTCTCATGCATCAATGATTTTGCATTGATTTTCAATAGCCATATGAGTTTTATATTGTTTTTTGTCTTTTTACAGTAGATATAATGTTGCTTTTTTATCAATAGTTATATCAACATCTTATTGCTCTATTATCTGTATCCATACCAACTTTATATTGCTCTTTTGCCTGTGTCTATACCAGCTTCATATTGTTCTTCTATCTGCAGCTATACCAGCTTCATGTTGTTCTTTTATCTGCAGCTATACCAGCTTCATGTTGTTCTTTTACAAGTAGCTATACCAGCTTCATGTTGTTCTTCTATCTGTAGCTATAGCAGCTTCATGTTGTTCTTCTATATGTCTATACCAGCTTCATGTTGTTCTTCTATCT